GTGTGCTTCCGTCTGGTGCTTATGCGTTTCTGTGTGTGCACACGCCTGGGTAGCTGACCCCGTGCAGGGCGGTACGCGCGAGCGCGGACACTGGGACGCACGCAGGGCTGCGGGCACGGCCGTAGGAGTCCGAGCGTCCGTGTCCCGGGTGTTAGCGTGCACGTGTGCCAGCGCGTGGGCCACGTGTCCGTCCGTGCAGACGCGGCCATGTCCCGATGTGGGTGTGGATGGGGTTTGCACGTATTTGCTACAAGTGCTGTTTATGAGGAACGGGCATGTTTGCACGCACGAGCTGTGTGTGTGTGTGTGTGTGTGTGTGTGTACAGCTGTGCGTGGGACATGCCGGTCTGTTCTTACCGTGTGCACGTGCGGGGCGTGTGTCTCTGCTCACGTGCCGTAGTGTGTGTGTCCGTGAAGGACGGCGGGTCCCGGATCTTGGGACGCGCATGCTCCTGTGAGCTATCTCCCTTGGCTGGATGGAGGCGCGAGTGCGGGAGAAACTTTGGTGGGAGGGCTCTTGGGCCCCATGTCATGATGCTGTTTTGCTGGAATAATCCTCGGTGAGCTTCAGCTGATAATTCGTTCCCTGGAGCTTCTGAGGGACCCGATGCCTCTGGCTCTGGTGGCCCCCGGCTGCCTGTGCAGGGGGGTTGTGAGGAGGTTCTGTCAGCCAGCTGGGTCGTGTGACAGTGACGGGAAGGCTGTAGCTCTCCCAGTGTGACCACCCTGTGGCTCTGGATGGGACACCCAGCCACGTGTTTAGCTTCACTGGGTTCTTTCCGTTTATGGCAAGTGGTGCTGACCTTCCGACTGATAACACTTCCTTTTATTTAAATAAGAAGTGGTACGATTCAAAGCAAACTACTGAGGCAGGGCTTGAGCAAGGATTGGGAGGAGGCTGCTTCTTTGGGAAGGGGCCCGTGGCCGGAGGAGAGGAGCAGCTGAGAGGGGCCTGGCCAGGGCGGCCTCAGGGTGTCCTCCCAGGGACCAGCTGGCAAGAGCATTGACCCTGGGTCCCCCCCACTGGGGAGGAGCAGCCCCACGTCACCCGAGACCCAGAAGATGTGAGGCGAGCATGAGAGGCTTCTCTCTACTGAAGGGAAGCAGTCAGGTGCACAGGTAACGTGGCAGTGGTGAGGGACACGGGAGGCTGGCTGCTTCCCCACGGCCCGTGAGGTTAGGACTGTTCATCCTCATTCCGTGGACAAGAAAACCAAAGTCACGGGTCACAGGAAAATGGCCAGCGTGTCAGTTCTCTACTGCTGTGTAACAAATTGCCCCAAAGGTTAGCAGCCCTAGCGCCCAGGGCGCGTGTCTGCACTCGTTTCCTGCCGGGGCTTCACCAGGGCAGGGGGCCGGGCACCAGCAGGAGGTGCTGCTGGGGTCACCCGGAGGCTTGTGCCTGGCTGTCAGCCGGGGCTGCGCAGGCCCTGCCGGCAAGAGAAGGCAGGCCAGGGTTCTGGAGGGCTGTTCCCGGAGACGGGGCCGGGGTGGGGGTGGGGCACAGAAGCCACTCCTGCCACCTTCTGTCGTCTGGTAGGTGAAGCTGGTCCCCTCTGGGCGGAGGGGCCAGCGTCGCACTGTAAGGAGAGCCTGGGGCGGGAGGCGGTGCAGCCGTCTCTGGAAAATGCGATTTGCCACAGCCCGGGGTTCAAACCCAGGACTGCTTCGTTCTGAAGCGTGTGCTCCTCACCGAGTCCTGACCTCCCTCCTCATGGTGAACCCTGAAAAACGAAGGCCTGGGCCAGGCCGGCCCCTGGCTCTTCCTGAGCCGCTACAGCGTGACGATGAGAAGGATGGCAGCGCGCCTGCCTGGCGGTCGGTTGGGCATCGGACTTCGGCTTGAGCCCTGACTCCTGGTCTCACGGTTTGTGAGGTCAGCGCAGGGCCCGCTTCACCTCCGCTGTCCCTCCCCCACTCGTTCTCTCAAAATAAAATAAAAATGACAAAAGATGGGAGCCACGTGCGGCACCACAGCAGGTGGAGGGGACTGGAATGAAGAGCAAACGCTGGGCGGAGGCTTCGCGGTCACCGCGCCCGCGCCCTCCGGGCCACAGTGGAAGGCTGGGATGCACGTCCCCGCTCCGGTGCATTCGCATTCACGGTGAGGACAGAATCCAGGCAAACGTGCAACATCAGAGAACAGAGAGCATCCACCAGCAGTCAGATTTCAACACGTTTCCGGGCTTGAAAAATAGGCCGCAAGAGACCGGGAATATTTATGGAGGGCGCTGCAGGGGTGGGGGAGGATAGCCCACCCAGGAGAAACCAGAAGGGAACTGGGCTCTCACACAGGGCAGGGGTGGAGGTGAGACGGGTGGCCGTTCGCATAGAGGCGAGACCCTGTTACAGCAGCTGGGACACAGCAGGGGGCCTTCCCTACACATTTTTCGTTGTCTGTTTGGAAATCTGGGTTGCTACTACAGTGCCTGTGTTGAGTTCTGGCGTTAAGGGGTCCCCATCGTGATGCGACCCTCCCTCTCGCCTGTTTTATACTGAACCTGAAGCCAGGAGGCCGCCTGCGCTCGTGGAGCACGGCCGGCTCTGCTGCCACTGCCGTCTTCAGTCTGAGGTGACAGCGACGGCCAGCCGGCTGAGGAAAGAAGCACGTGCAACACGAGGTCCCGATAAACTATGGGGAAAAATGAGCCCAGAAGAAACCAGCTATCCTCCAGTAAACAGAAGAAAACAGAACCCCTGATATCAGAGGTTATTTCCGTAATGAAAACAAGGTGCCGAGGGGAAAACAGCAACAACAGAAACCGGACAGACCACTCTCGGGAGATTAAACCTATGATTCCTGAAAGAAAACCTCACAAGTGCTGAAAGTCAAAATCGAGGAAATCTCTTAGCACATAGAACGAAAGTGCGAAAAGCCCTAAAACAAGAGACACAAAGGATGAACACAGGAGGTCCGGGTCTGGAGGAGAGCGTGCCAGGGAGGGGGGAGACCCCAAGTGAGAGAGGAGAACTGGTACACGTGCCCCCCTGTGATCCAGGCAGAAGCAGACTTCCAGTCAGTAAACCTGATGGCTGAGCTATCAACTGAATGAAAAACAGAGCATCAAACTCAGGCACAGTGCCGCGAAGCTGCAGAACCCAGGCTGGAGACGGGAAGCACGAAGGTCGTGGAGAGAAAACAGGGCCCCTCCCCAGGAAGCCCCGGGGCGCAGACCAACACGGGTCGCCCGTCAACCACACAGGGCAGACGGACCCTGAACCCTCAAGTTCCGAGGGAAAATGTTTTACCGCCCGGTGGTACATGTCCAGCAAAACTGCTGCCCGTGTGCAAATGGCCAGGGACTCAGAACTTGGCTTCCCACACAACCGCTGCTGAGGAATGGTTCGAGGACCAGCTGTAACAAAGAACATAAACCAAAGAGGAGGCCGGCTCGTAGTGCAGAGATTAAGTGGAAACCATACATCCAAAGCAAGGGGCCGTAGGTGTGAGGCATAGAGCCTAGAAGATTGAGGATACGATTAACAGCACCCAGTGGAATGATAAGTAAGTAAACAAATAAATAAAAGCAACCAGAAACTCCAGGGTGAACAATAAAACCATACGGAACCAACAAGTTGAAGTGTGAGTTGAGAGTGCCTTGATCCGCAGGGCACGCTCTGCTTCCCACAGGGCCACAGTGACTTCTGTTCCGCGGAGATACTGAGGCTGAGCAATCGGGGAAGGTCCACAAGGCTTGCTGCCTTGTCCCCTGCAGGCTGTGAGTCAAACAAAAGAATGATGCAAAATAGAATCCCCGAGGGCAAGCCCGGGCCCTGCCCAGAGGGTTCGCGCTCCGGCTCAGCGCCAGCGCCAGCTCACGCTCGGTGTAATGCTCTGAACGGGTCGGACATCTGAACAAGGTTGCGTGCCTGCCCTCCCACCTGGTCCGGCCCGGCGGCCTCGGGTCCTCTCCCCTGGGCAGCACCTAAGGAAGTGCAGTCACCCCACAGCTCAGCTCCTGGAAAGCTGTCCTGGGTCCTGAGCCAATAGAATGTGAATGTCCCCGAGGCAGGCGGACCTGCCGGAGCCGGGGGGCCGGCGGAAAAGTCCGCATATCGGCCCTGCCTTCACCTGAAAGTTTATATTTTGCCCAACATGGATTTTTTTTTTTTGCTCAAATTTTTTATTTTTAGAACTATTGCATGAAAATACTCTTTACCTCAATGGCTGACGTCTTGGTGGCCACTCCGCTGTGAAATTTGCATGTGACGCTAACGCTGCTCACACTTCACCAGCCCTGCGCCCCTGGGGTACCTGGGAGAAGCAGGGACCTCCTGTGAGTGGAAAGAGGGAGTCGGGGTGTGGCGTGCAAAGCTATGTCTAAAGGCAGAGCCACACAGCCCACCTTTCAGGGGTGATGGGGTCCAGCTCCCATAGCGGGGCGGGGTGAGGGTGCGGGAAGGCCTCTTCTCTTGGGCTTTTGCACTAATAAAGTATTGCAAGAGGGTGACCAGAGAATTATCATAATAATAATATAACGTAAATGAATCCTGAATTTCAAAATGGAGAGAAGGTCAAAATCAAGGGTCAGGCAGGTTTCAAAGGACAAACATGGAGCTGTGTGGCGGCGGATGAGGGTTAGAGCAGAACTCACAGACGCAGAGACACTGTGTGTGTGACTGTGTGTGTACAGAGGGGTCTGGCCTGTGGTGGCCGCCGTGGCTGCAGTGCTGGAAAGCGGCCGTGCGAAGCACCATGTGAATTCACAGGGAAGCCACCGTTCCGGGGAATGGCCCAAGAAAGCACTGCAGACAAGTGAGAAATAAATGAGAAATAAATCTCAAGATGGGCAAAAAACGTTACATTTAAATGAAGTCTCAGCCGGCGGTGGATTGTAACCTCGTGGGAAGGGCCATCTCTGCTGAAGGAGAAATACTAATTTAAATACAACTGTTACACATATCACTGCCAGCAAAGCAGTGAAAGTGCGGGAGGGAACGGAAATAACCTGAAAATTCTGGCAAAGCAAGAAACAGAGGAGGAGCCTCGAGATGGACAAGAAAGCGCGGCCCGGCACCGCCACCACCGTCGTCCCGGCAGGAATGGTCCCATGTGAAGACAATCACACTCAGAAGAGGCTGAGAAATCAAATACAATACATGTTCTGAAGGCCCAACTCGGAAACAAAAAGGACAAGAAAAATAGTTAAAAATAAATAGAAAAATAGCAGGTAAAATAATAAAAGGCAAGAACGGAATCCAGGGAAGATCCTGGGAGAACGGGACGCCCCCTCCCCCGCCCTGGCGTGAGCGCCCAGGTCCTGGGGAGGCAGGTCGGGGGGGCGGAGGTGAGTGGACACAGGGGCCGCGCAGGAGGCAGCAAAAGGCAAGCAGACGTGTGCCTGTCCCCTTGCAAAGACTCCCGGTTCCAGGTGACCCTGGGCTGAGTCACAGCCTCCCCCCAAGCCCCGGCGGTCTGCTTAGGGCCCGTGGCCCAGCGTGGGGGGGCGGGTGAGGGCCACCCCAGTGGGATGAGGATCCTGGCGGAGGAAGTTTCCTCGATGGGGTCTGGGGGCAGTGGCACGGAGGATGCCCCTGGGCCCCTGCTCCTCCTCTGCAGGGGTGTGGGAGGCGGGGGGAGGGAGGAGGCTGGAGCAGACCAGGGCTGCCCCCCTCAGCACGGTGCTCACGGCGGCCTTTTGCGCTGCCCTTTCAACAGGAGAAACAGGCCAGGCCCAGGCAGCTAACGGTGGCAGAGCCAGGGCTGGGACGTGACCTCCCTTCTCAGGCTGGCCGGAGGGTCTATCCTCGGGGGGGTGGGGTGCAGGGAGGGCTCCGCAGGGCAGGTCTGCGTGAGGCTCCAGCACTGTCCAGCGGCAGAGGCATTGGGGAGCCTGGTAGGGGATGGGGTTCGCATGCCCCCCACCCCTGCGCTTGGCCGCCTGCCCTTCTGAGTCTCCCTGCCACACCCACACCTCTCACCCGCCTTCCCGGCCTGGCTCCCTCCCAGCCTGGCTGCCCGCTGGAACCCTGGACGCTGGCCCAGCCCCGGGACCAGGACCCATGGGTCCCAGCAAAGACATCGGGAGCCCCGAGTGCGCAGGAAGACTGGGAACCCCCCTCCGTGCTGACTCCAGACTTCTGACCCACCAAGTCCAGCCTGCTGGGCCAGAAGCCTGCAGCCGGAGCAGGGGTGGCTGGAGGCCGGAGCTGGGTGGGCTATGGTGGAGCTCCCAGCGGGCTGCGCCCTGTCTTTCACGATGAGGTAAAACTATTTTTATAGGCAAACAAAGGAAGACCTTACAAGAGGCAGATCTGAATGATTGGTTTAGTTCCTGTTTGCAGATCTCAGGTCCTGAGGCCACGGAGGCAGGCCACGGAGGGAGGGCACGGCTAAGCCAGAGCCTGCCCCTCCCAAGCCTGCCCTTTCACCCTGGCTCTGCTCCCCTGGGGCCAGCAGCCTCCTACTATGCCTGTGCCTGGCCCAGACAGCAACGCCCAGCCCACAGGGTCCAGGACATTCCATTCGCCCCCCTCCCACCCCACTCCCAAGGAAGAGCTAGTTACTGATTGAACACCTGAACACTGGAATGAATGTTAAATGGGACAGTTCCTGGCAGTAATCACGGGGACCAAAGGCCTCTGTTCTCTCTTCTGGCGCACAGAGCGGCTCCTCACGCCTCGGCTGGACCCATCGCACACAGGCCAGGCCGGCCGTGCCAGAGCAGTGCCGGAAGCAGGCCCTTGGAGGCTTGTCATGTGGATCCGCTGGTGGCTCTGGCCCCTGGTGGCCATCTGCGCTGCAGACCAGTTCCGGAATGAGGCTGAGAGAATCATGCGAGGCACACCTGTCATTGACGGGTAAGCAGCCACTTGGGACGGGACCGGGGATCCGGGGCAGGAGGGGCTAGGAGCTCATGTGACCTTGAGACTGACCTTGCCCTACCTCTGCTGGGACTCTGTTTCTTCAGCCACACCATGGCTTTTGCCCTTTGTTGGCCTCGGCTTCTTCATTGGGTCTCTCAGGGCCCCCCAAAGCTTCAGCAGATGAGGGTCTGCAGGGAATGGAACAGTTAAGCAGGAGCTCCCGCGTGCCTACAAGCTGACCCCCTGCACCCTGGGTACCAGGTCCCAGCCCAGGGTGGTGCTGGGGATACAGGATGGAGGGGCCGGGCCCGGGGCATGCCTCGGACTAGCCGTGTAGCCCCAGGAGCCACATTCCCCCCTTGGGCCTCCCTAAAGCTGTAGGTAAGAGTGGCGTCTACTGCGGGCCCCTGGGAGGCCCCTCCTTGACCCTCCTCCAAGACCGTTCTCGCTCCTCTCCCTCCCCTGCATCCACCCTGGGGAGACCTCATCAGGCACAGGGTGCCCAGCTTGACCTCATGTGCACGATCACTGACAACCCCCCCCCCCGCCCCCGCAAGCCAAGACCCTGGAGAAACCTTGTTATTTTTTCTCTGATGTCACAGCCAACCTGGCAGGGCCTGTCTCCTGGTGCATCTGCGTCTGCCCTCCCCCCTGCCCCCACCTCCACCTCCGTCCAGCGAGCCTCTGACGGCCCACCAGCCGAGGTCTGGTCTCAGTGCTGCAGCCGGAGGGAGTCCCAGCTCCCGTCCTCTGGCTCACACTCCCCGCCCATCATGGCTCCCACTGAGCTCAGGGGAAGTCTAAGCCCTCCAGTGGGCCCCGGGCCCCTTCACCGCCTTCCCCGGCCAGCCCCACGCTCCAGCAGGCTCCTGCCACCCCTGCTTGTCCCCGGCTCCACGCTGCCACCCTCAGCTCCCCCCCCCCCGGGGTTTGGGCTTTGCTCTGGGAGCCCCTCCTGCCCCGTGTGAAACGCCACCTGCGCACACGTCCCTGCCGTTCCTGCTTCCTTCCCTGCCCCGCCTTCTAACCAGCAGAGAGCAGAGACTCCGTTCCCTGGGCCGCCCCGTCGGCAGAGCGGCAGGTGGCACACACTCGCGCCCCCTTGGGTGCCGGAAGTGCCGGGGGTCCCTCTGTGTGGCGCCCCGAGAGTGCTCAGTGAATGTTGCTCACGACTGTTTACTATTTGGCAGAGGCCCGTGGGCTTTGTCGGACAAAATGCTCTGCAAGAAAAGGAGAGAAAATGGGGTGTGCCCTTAAATGGGAACCCCAGGGCTGTGGCAGCCCTAGAGAAGGGAGGGGCCACCAGCCAGTAGCGTCCGCCCCCCCGCACCTCCTTCCCGGCCCCAGGGTCCCCTCACAAGCTCGTGGGGAATGAGGCAGGGGACGTGCTCAGACTGCCGCCTGGGCTCCCCCCGGGTGGAGGGTGGAGGCCTGCTGTCTGGCGGGAGGCCAGCAAGGGCAGAAGAAGGCGCCACTTCATGCTGAGGAGCCGGGGGAGGGGCGGGCAGCCGGGCACAGAGCGGGGGGGGGTCCAAGGTCAGGTGCTGGGAGTCGGGAGGCCTGTATGAGGGGCAAGTGGCTCAAAGAGCCTAGACAGCTAGGAATTCTCAGGGAGCTGGGATTTGGGAATCTGGGATTGTCCAAAGCACTAGAAAGTGAAGACGAGGCTGACGGGACCCAAACCAATACCGTGGCATCAGCTGCTCTCACGGGTAAGAGACTCAAGTAAGTGGTTTCAACAAGAGAGAGAGCAGAGGGAGCCCCGGCACAGCGGCGGCCGTCGTTCCCACCTCGCGCTTTAAAGTGGCGGCACCAGCCCCGGCCTTTGTGCTTGCGTGCCAGCCGGCATGAATGGGGAAGGGACACAGCAAGGGCAGAGGGTGAGCCGGTCAAGGAGAGCTTTTGGAAGCTGTCAGAGGGCAGAACTCGGCCACACGGCCACGCCCAGCAGTAAAGGGACACAGAATATCTTTACTTCAAATGGCCATGGTTCAGGGTAAAAATAGGGGGTTCTGTTACCAAGAAAAAAATGAGTAGATAACAGGCCACCCGCGGTCTCTCCTACAACTGCTGTCATTCAAGTGCTTGGAATTGTTACCTCCTCCCTTTGAGTGGGAGCAGCGTCCTCAAGTCGCTCCGGGAGCTGCCCAGGCCACACAGATAAGGAGGGTGGACCCGGCACGCTCCACTGGCACTGCTGGCCGCGGGGCGAAGGTGACCTGTTCCGCACCCCGGGCTCCTGCAAACGCTGGGTGGTGAGGAGGCTGGAGCAGTGTGCCCCGCTTCCCTGGTGGGTTCCTGGCTGCCGGCTGGACGGTGAGCGCCCTCAGGCGGGGAGGAGAGTCCTCTCCAGGGGCCGTGCCCAGTGCTGCCCAGAGGCACCGAGACACGTCCCCCCGCTCGGCCAGCAACACCTCTGGCCACCAGCCCACACCCCATCACGTCAAAACACAGCTGTGGCAGGTGCCCCTCAGGAGAGCGGGGCGGGGTGGGGGGCTTCCGGAGTCTGGAGCCAACTTGCTTTGGAAGAGGTCACCCCAGGGACAGCTGGCCTGAGAGGTCCGAGTACTAAGTTACTCATCTACCCTCACAGTTCACTCTCTGACGAAGGTACCAGAGCACCCCTCCTCCCCACGTTACAGGTGGAAAAACTGAGGCAAGAGAGGCAGGAGCCAGGACTGGAGATGGGAACCGGGTGGGGGTTGAGGACAGGGCCGCCAGTCCCGGGGGAAGGGTCTCGAAAGCCGGGTGGCCCCTCACACAGAGCAGCGGCCCTGGGAGGGGGCCGGGGGCGGAGGACTGGGCCGGGAGGGTCGGCGAGGCACCAGGACCCCGGCCCCTCGGTGTCCGCGTGTCCACCTTTGAGTCTTGGCTGAGTCGAGTGCAGACTGACCGGCAGGTCTGAGCGGGCCTGAGACTGCACTTCCCACTGGCTCCCTGGCCCACACTTCTTCCACGTGTGGGACTTGGGGGGGGCTGGCACCCCAGAGGCCTCTGCCCCTTGAGGCTGCTCCTGGCTCCTGCCTCTCACCCCACCTTCCCTGCCCTCCTTCTCTCTCCCTCCAAAGCGCTCACCCCTCCTGGCTCCAGGGAACCCTTCACGGGGGAAGCACAGAAGGATGGGCTTGGAAATGGCGCAGAGCCGTCACAGAGCCCCCGGGGCCTCTCCCTGCAAGGAGAGGATTTCATCTTTAACTTGTGAGACCGCCAGCTGCCTGGTGTCAACCTGCCCTATTCATGCAGGTTGTTTGGATCCTGCCCTGTTCCCCAGGACGATTCTGGAGACAAACGAGCATCTGCCTTTCCCTCTTCAGCAGTGAAAGGCCCTTGCAGGGAAGACCTCCCAGAGGCTCTCTCTGCTCGAGGTCCCCTGGCCTGGGTGTGGGGCACTCACCTGCGTGCAGGTGTGCTCAGATCAGGAGCAACCCGCCAGCCGTGTGGGCGGCTCTCGCTCCCTGCCTGGGAGGGAGCCGGAGGCGCCAGGTGCACGTGGCCATCCTGACTCGCCTCTGACACCGTCTCCCGCCCCTGCAGGCACAATGACCTGCCCTGGCAGCTGCTGACCACGTTCAACAACCAGCTGCGGAACGAGAAGGCCAACCTGACGAGCCTCGCCGACACACACACCAATATCCCCAAGCTGAGGGCTGGTTTCGTGGGGGGCCAGGTATGGCTCGTGGTGCCCCCCCCCCCCGGTGTCCTGGCCAAGGTGCAGGCGTAGCCGGGCGGCATCCCTCCTGAGCCCCTTGGGGCCACAGGTCTTTGGAAGGGGACCCTGGTAGCCACAAAGACCGTGCAAGGACTCCGGAAGCGGGAGGGAAGCCAGACGCCCATGTGCATGGCGGGGGGGGGGGGGAGGCCAGGAGCCTCCACTGCTAGCCGCTGTCCCCCGGGGCCCCTAGTTCTGGTCTGCGTACGTGCCCTGTGACACCCAGAACAAGGACGCTGTGAGGAGGACCCTGGAACAGATTGACGTCATCCACCGCATGTGCCAGATGTACCCAGAGACCTTTGCGTGTGTCACCGACAGCACAGGTGCGTCCCGGTCCCACCCACCTTCCTGAGGCCCTGCCCCGCCCGGCAGAGCTGCTGGTGTGCCCGGCGCCCGGCGCCCTCAGCCAGCTCTCCTCGCAGGCGTCCGGCAGGCTTTCCAGGAGGGCAGGGTGGCCAGTCTCATCGGCGTGGAGGGCGGCCACTCCATAGACAGCAGCCTGGGTGCCCTGCGGGCCCTCTACCGCCTGGGCATGCGCTACCTGACCCTCACGCACAGCTGCAACACGCCCTGGTGAGTGGCCCCGGGGAGGGCCCAGGCGCCACGTGGGGGGGCGGGGGGGGCAGTCCCCAGCCCTGCTCTCCGGCCCCTTCCTCTCCTTCCAAGAGTCCGCCCGTGGGGGGGGGGGGCAGGATCACCACCGCGTCCCTGGCACAGCTGCTCTCTGCTCTCCCAGGGCTGACAACTGGCTGGTGGACACAGGAGAGGACGAGGCTGAGAGCGAAGGCCTGTCACCCTTTGGGCAGGTGAGGGGGGTTTCGACAAGGGCCGCCGTCACCCTCAGAGAAGTGACCCAGGACGCGGTTTCTCTCCCCTCAGGACTGGTTTCCTCACCTATAAACTGGAGCTACAGGGGCTTCCCAGGGTGGGTACCCACGGGAACTCGCCGGGCGTCTTCCAGCCATTGGAAAGTTCATGAACACCTGGCCGGCAAGCGGCCCTCACCCAAATGCCCCGCCCGCCGTGCCCGGACTTGTCAGGGGGGCTGCGGTGAGCCCCGGAAGGGCGCAGACACAGGCGTGCCCAGCGCAGCCTTCCTGGCCCCTGAGCCCCGTGTCCGCGCAGAGCGTCGTGAAGGAGATGAACCGCCTGGGGGTCATCATCGACCTGGCCCACGTGTCCGTGGCCACCATGAAGGCCGCCCTGCGCCTGTCCACGGCCCCCGTCATCTTCAGCCACTCCTCCGCCTACAGCCTGTGCCCGCACCGGCGCAACGTGCCGGACGACGTGCTGCGGCTGGTGGTGAGGGGCCGCGGGCTGGCGCTCCCTCCCCCTCCCTCCCCTTCCCTCCCCGCAGTGGTCCCCGAGCGCGTGGCCTGCTCTCCCACCCACGGCTCCCCCCTTCTCCCGAGCAGAACCAGACAGGCAGCTTGGTGATGGTTAATTTCTACAACGACTACGTGTCATGCAAAGAGGCGGCCACCCTGTCCCAAGTAGCAGGTGGGTGCGGGAGGGTGGCCACAGCAGCTGGCGGGCGAGGGCCGCCCCTGGGACTCACCCCTGCGGTCCTCCTCGGCAGACCACCTGGACCACATCAAGAAGGTGGCAGGAGCTGGAGCCGTGGGCTTTGGTGGGGACTTTGATGGTGTTTCAAGGTAGGGGCAAGGCCTGTGTCCCGTGGCTCAGCCGGAAAGGCCACCCCCCCTCCTCAAACATGTCATGAGGGTCTGAGGCTCAGATGGGCCCAACATGTCTCGGTCTGAAGGCCACTCCACTGGGCCCCTGATGGCTTTGGGTGGGGCCACAGTGGTTTGTGGGGAGGTAGGTGGTCCCGAGGTCCTGACCCCTGCGATGCAGAGCCTGGTTCTCTCTGCCCTCGCCTCAGGCTCCCCGTGGGGCTTGAGGACGTGTCCAAGTACCCAGACCTGGTGGCCGAGCTGCTCAGGAGGCAGTGGACAGAGGCGGAGGTCAGGGGCGCCCTGGCCAACAACCTGCTCAGGGTCTTCGAGGCAGTGGAGCAGGTGAGGAGAGGCCGGCACACTCGCCCACCCTTCTTGGCCGGCAGGTGGGCAGGTGGGCAGGCAGGGCCAGCGGGCAGGCGGGCAGGCAGCCCAAGCGGTGTCTGTCCCCAGGTGAGCGACCACACGCAAACTCCCGAGGAGGAGCCCATCCCAAAGGACAAGCTGCAGACTTCTTGCAGGACGATGTATGGCTACTCAGAGGCCCCCAGCCTCCACCAGCAGCCAGGGGCCCTGCTGGCCTCCCTCACCACCATCCTCCTCGGCCTGTGTGTTCTGTGATGCCCTGGGGTCCGGGACCCCTAGGGTCCTCCAGCTCAGGAGACACCGTGGCCATCGGAGCAGGGAGATCCCGGCTCCCCAGCACGAGGCCTGGGCTCTCCTGAGGGCAGGAAGCCGTGGACGGCTCCAGACAGACACACGGTGGACCCTTAATAAAGGCAACAACCCTTCTGAGTCATGACCGTGTGTGTGCTCAGCACCCCAGCCCCTGAGGGGGGCTCGCGAACATCCAAGGGCAAGTTCTGTGAAAATGGTCCCAGGCTAGACCTCCCGACACAGGAGTGCCTAGAAGAGCAGCCAGAAAGGGCTCAAGGTCTTAGATTTGCACGGACATTGCTCACGTCTGAAAGCAGACAGTCTGGGCTCCGGTGGGCCCCTCCCCCCTCCCCATACGCACACGCACACTCACGCACACCTACGCGCCCCACACCATGACGCACGCACAGGCAGCATACACACACGCACACACGTGTGCCCACACCTGCCACCCGGCTCAGCCTCTCAGGTGGGAACGCCAGGTCTTGGCAGGGCTGAACCACTTCACACCCCTGCCGCCCCCACGCTCCGGCCTCCAAGACTGCTCCGTGCGGACGGCCTCAGGCTCTGGCACTGAGGGTGGACTAGCACATGGGAGCTCCGCTGCGCAGGTGGACGGCCCACACGTGCCCGCTCGGCTCCCCCAGCCCCCGCAAAGGTGCCTCCCTGTCATTCCCAGGCAGAGCTAATGTGACCAGAAGGGACGTCTGTGGGTATTTGCTGATCACTTAGGATCGAGTCAATGTTAAAGGAGGAAACGGCAGGTAAGGGTTTCTGTCCCGAGTGGCCAGAACATGCCCAAAGCCCCGACGCCGCCAAAGGGGATTTTCCCTGCGGGCACGGCGGGAAGGGCCCCCTGGTGGCCTGCCGAGGTAGCACACACATTTTGCTGCCGGGAGCATTTTCTCCCAAGGTTTTACCACTTGTCCTGAAGTGACCCTGGTCCCACCAGAGCGCCACAGCTGCACGTACCATCCCAGAAACTTGTCCGATCTCAAAAGCCCTTTCCTGAGGAGTAAACAAAACTGGGAGGGGGGGTCTTGGGGCCCTGGTGACTTCTGCACAGAAGCAATACCCAGGGCGTGCACCCTACAGCACAGACACTCTTCTCGGGGCGCAAGAAGATCCTCTAGGGGCCACCTGTCCCCCGGAAAGGCCACAGCAGCACTCCTCACACTTGGGGTGCAGAGGCAGCTCCAAGGACCCCGCGGACACACAGATACGCGAGGGTGTGGGGGACGGGAGGCAGGCTGAGGGGCACGATTCGGTTCCACTTCTCGGCCTTGGTCACGTTTCACACATTCAAAACCCAAATCCAGACCAGGCAGGACGGGGAGCGCCCACAACGGAAGACAAACAAGTGATTCCTGCAGAAGCGGAACACAACTACGAAGAGGTGTGGACGAGCGTGGACACTCGGGAAGTGCCTGGAGGCCTGTGGTCAGCGAGGGTTCTCGCAGGGGCGCGGCCAGCAGTTCCGAGAGCCTTGTGTAGGGACGAGCCAGCAAAGACATGAGTATGTGGGGCAGGTTCTGCCGTCAAAGTTCCAAACGAGGAGCGGGAAGCCCAAGTGGACCTGCGAGAGCAACGTGGGGGCTTCGGTGCTCAGGGGCTAACGCCTACGGGCCCACGTTGATATAAGCGATAGGACAGGTAGAAGTGAACGGAGGGAACGGGAACTTTTCCCTAAGACAGAACTGCAAGCAGGAAATCACCACGGATACCGTTACCAGGAAGATCCGCGGAGGGACACGAACGTTGGGGACAGAGCACGGTGACGTTTGCAGGCGAGGCTGCAGTCTTTCCACAGGATACTCAACAGAGGAGGAAAATGAGGCTTTACGGGGGCGTCGCCGGGCCCACACCCCCGTCCGAGGGGAGCCGCACAGGGACGCCGTGCACCTGGGATGAGGCACTGAGGACACGACCGCCTCTGTGGGATTCCCGCCTAGAGCTGTGACCTCAAGGTCATCGTGAGAAAATGCCGCCTCAGCCCAAGTGGCAAGACAGTCTGCCAAGTAAGTGGCCACCATGCCCCTGGGTCCCGCAGGCGCCAGACAGACGGCAAGGGCGGTCCCAGGCTGGGGGCGGAGGCGTTGCAAGTAGACGACCGTCCGGGTGGTGTCCCGATGTAGCGGGTCACGTGCGGCTCACTAGGAAGTGGACGCGAGGGGCGCGCGGTAAACACGAGTATATGCAGACCATGTGCTCCGCGACTTTTATATACGTTTCAAGTTATTTCAAGGTACAAACTTAAAAAGAAAACTTAACATTTTGGATTCCAATTCCATCTGCGGGGGCAGAGCCTGAGAACATGCATACCTCACCCCCCACCCGCCCTCTTCCAGGTAACCCTCCTCAGCCTCCTAAGAGGGGCCAGAGAGCCACACCAAGGCTCCCCCTACAGCCCCCTGCCCCACCCAAAGCCACAAAAGCAAAGCTGGAGAAAGTTCTCAGGGATCAATCTGTTTACTCACAACAGTGTTTTAGGAAAACGGGCAAACACACCCACTGCTCTCTGCGGGGCCACAGTCAGGGAGCCCTGCACCCCCAGCGCCCAGGACCTCCTCTGCATCCCTGCACATGGGCGCCCCGAGAGACCGCAGCCGGGGAGTAAGGCGAGGTTGGCACTGCGGAAGGGAGGAGGGACAGCACTCTGACCCTCCGTCTGGGGCCTCACACCGCAGTGCGGCATCCAGGCCAACACAGCAGACTTCACAGAACACCTTCAGCCACCGGGCCCAGGAGAATCAGACGTGGCGAGTCGCCAACATTCCCGTTCACAAGAGGCTTGGGTGTGAGGACGGCCCGGGCAGCTGGGGGCATCTGGGGAGGACTGGGCGGACGGTCAGCGGAGCACAGAGAGGGGCCCTGCTCAGGACAAACCACGAAGTCCCTCCCGAGCTCATGCCAAGAAGGGGGCTTGGACCCAACACCCCTCATCTGCTGTCTGCTACGTCTATTTTGGCAAAAAAACAACCCACGAAACTTCAAGGAAACAAAGTAAACTTCAGGAAACGGAAAAACTAGAAACTGCAGCCCGTGACAGGAAATCTTCGGTGGGGGGAGCCGCCGCCAGCTGCCCGGCTGTGGCTGCCACGGCTCCCCCACGGCCGGCCCTGCCGGGGTGCCTCTCCGAGCTCCCAAACCCCGGCCCGCTGCTCTGGCTTCCAGGTCTGGCGGTGGGAGCGGGAGGAGAGAGCGGTGGTGGGGAGGCCCCTGTTATGGACAGCACAGCGCAAGGCCAGCACGTGGCCGGGAGCGGGAGGCCGGCTGCCCCCCACTGGGAGGGGCCTCAGTGCAGACCCTGAGTTCCTGGGGGATGCACGGCACAGCCCTCAGGGCCCCGGGCCCTCCGGAGGCAGCAGTGGAACGGGGACGCGGCCCCCCGAGGTGGGCCCGCCTGGACCTGGAGCCTCACACCAGGGATCGCGAGTGGGTGCTGGGCCCGCCAGGCTGAAGCAGGAAGCAGGCTGACCCCGCTGGCTGATCGCAAGCAGCACGGAGTCTGGGGGCCCCCACGGTCCACACAGTGTCCACTGGTCAGTCCCCATCAACCCCTCAGAGGGTAGGGGACGGGGAGGGGCGCCTGCAGACCCCGAGCCGGTCAGCCCAGAGTCACAGAAACAGAAGTCAGAAGTTTGTGCAAACTCACCCACCAGGACACAGAGCCACCGTCTATGCTAAGAGGGACAATTCCCAGGCCTGGAGGTCAGGGCTGCGCTGCAGGGTGTGCAGGAAGGCGAGAGGCCTGGGTGGGGGGGTGAGCTGGAGCCCTCATCCCCGGCCCTTCCCGCACGTCGAGGCGGGGGACGCAGCGCCCCACGGCGGGGGCTCGGCTAGTTTCTCAAGGCGGCCAACCTGCGAAATCGACAACACGAGTCCCGTGAGGGAGGGCGAGAGGCGGCGGCGCCCTGACCTGCTGTGTGCTCAAGGACAAGAGGCCAACCCAGGGGCCAAAGCTCCCTCACCCATCCATCGAGCTCTGACAGAAAGGAAAGGCTCGGGGAAGGGCCTCGCATCGTCAAGAATATGTTACGTCAGGGGGAGCAGAGACCTCCTCTCCTCAAGCAAGCGGTGGACGGTGCGGGAGCTCCAGAGCGGATACGCGACAGGCTCGGAGCGAGGAGCAGGGAGACAGGCGGTCAGATGGGCCCTGGGCTGGGCCCTCGGGTGGGGGCCTCCCGGAAAGAGCGGGGCTCGCTGGGCCAGAGTCCCTCCGCACAAGCTCTCCTCGCGAGGCCACGACGCGCCTCCCCTCCCCCACAAGCATGGCATCCGAGCCCGGGGGCACCTGCGGGGCACCGAGCCCACCTCCGCGACAGCTGGTCCTCCTGGCTGCGCACGGAACTCTCGCCCACGGCGGAGGCGCCCTCGGGCAGCTGGCTGAGCTGGTCCAGGACCTCCAGGCCGTTCTCCTCGGCGATCTGCACGATGAGGCTGTCCACCTGCTCCTGGGGCGTGGTCAGCGTGGTGGCCGAGCTCATGGAGTCCTCCATGACCTGCGGGTCGCGTTCCGGGCAGGTGGGCGCAGGCCCCGTGCCGGGGCTCCGCCGTGACCCCATTTCTGGCCGCCCATCTCGACCACATTTCCCACTCACTCCCCCACCCGCAGCAGCCACCTCCCCCGGCCCCGCCCACGGTCGTCCCCAGCAGGTCCCCACGGAGCCCCCTGGCCACTCGCTGGGAGGGGCGCTCACACCGCAGCCCCGGGCCGGGCCTCCCTCCGATCTGCGAGGCCTCTGTGTGCGGATTCCCACTCCACAGACTCGGGTGCTCTGGCGGTGACTCTGGCGGTGACCCCCGCGTGGGACCAGTGACGAGAGCCAGCCCCGGATGCACCCCTCGCACGCCCAGACCATGGGCCACATACCGACGTGTGCACATCCAGATTCTGCACCTGCTGCTCGAACCTGTCCATCACGGCAGAGACCTTCTGCAAGTCCATGGTGCTCAGCGCCCGGTCCAGGGCCTTGGTCACCTGTGCCATGTTCTTGGTCACCTGGCACAGGAGAAAGTGAGGAGGCGACAGAGCTAAAGGAAGGAAGGCCCTCTGCACCCTCCCCAGGCACACAGCCCCCCAAGGCCCGCAGGACCGCGGCCCTGGCCCAGCCCAGCCATGTTCGGGACCAGCCGCAAGGTCCCTGGACCCGGGCGCTGAGAAGACGGGGCACTCCGGGTCTTGTCCTTCAGTGCTGCCCTTAAGGTGCAGAGGGAATCTTTTCTCCACAAGCAAAGGGGTCTCACGGCTCCCCCTGCCCAGCCAGGCCCCTCGACTCTGCCGACAGGAGCTGGCCCTTGTGACGGGCAACCCTGGGCACGAGCACTCACCCCCTTCATGGTCACGGCCGTCTGCACCTTGGAGGCCACGGCGTCCACGCGGGATGCCATGCGGAGCCAGTTGACGCCTTCATTCTTCTTGCGGATCGCGTTCTCGGCATACACGCGCGCGCACTCCACGTTCTTCTGCTGAAGGGCCTGAGAGCCGGGGGAGGCACCGGCCGGGAGAACGCGGTTGTCTGTCTGAACGCTGCCCGCCCCACTCTGGGGCCTGGCCCTGGCTTTTCCGAGGGCGAGATCTGCTAGCGTGGGGCAGCCCCTCTCCTCTGCCTGTGGGCTTCACAAAAACGCAGAAACGCCAGGCCCCAAGCCCATTCAGGAGTTAGGGGTCCAGGCGGGTGCCAGAGCCGGCCGCACCGGGGGCTGAGCAGGGAAGCCGGGCCCGGCCGCACGAAGGACCCGGAGTGGAGTCGGCCGTCCGGTTTTCCCTTCTGCCCTGGGAGCCCCCAGATCTAACAACCCCAGGAGCTACTCCACCTGTTAAAGGGCTGTTAGAAAGGCCCCCCTGAGAGTGGGCAGACGCCCCAACCTCCCCTTCGACAGCAAGAACACCACGAGCCCCGCCCTTCACCAGCAGAGGGCGGGCTCACCGCTGCCCAGGGTCTGATGCCCGGGGCCCCAGACGCAGCAGGGAGCCAGACACGGTCCGGCAGGGGTGGCTGGAAGCCCGCTGCCCACACAGTTCGTGAGAAAGCAGGTGCAGAACTTTGGAAGTGAGTACGAGGCAAGGAAAGTTAGTGAGCAAAAGGCAAGGCAGGGCCCTTCTGCTGTGGACACCCTCAGGGGGCGGGGGCGCAGGGAGCAGCCACCGCAGGCCTGGAGCTGGCTCCTGAGAGAAGAGGCTCGGCCCACACGGGAAGGCGGCAGCGGCACACGCCACAGAAGCAGCAGGAGGGGGAAGGGGACGCGGCCCGGCGCCCGCGGTCAGCCCGGCGCCCGCGGTCAGCCCGGCGCCCGCGGTCAGCCCGGCGCCCGCGGTCAGCCCGGCGCGGCCTCACCTTCTTCACTTTGGCCTGTTCCGCCTTGGAGTCCTTCTCTGCCTTCTTGGCCAGCTTCTCCAGCTGCTTTGCCGTGAACTGGGCGGAAGCAGGACACCTGGGTCAGACAGAGCCTGCCCTCCGGCACCGGCACCCCCGCCCCACACGCCGGTGTCCTCACAGCCCGGGGCTGCAGCAAGGGTGCTCCCTGGGGCTCGGGGGGAAGGGAGGGCGGTGAGAGTCTCCTACAGCATCCTCTCCCAGGACACCCTAACCCAACCCCGCCCCCAGAGTGGAAAGCTAAAAAGGCAACTCACATAATCACCACTACTCGTGGATTTTCAACTTACGTGGAAAAAACTGGACAGAATGTGTTTCAAGCCACCCCAAGTGGCCTGGGGAATCATACACAATTCCCGGGGAGCACACACCTCAGAGTGTTCTCGTCACACGGCACTGTGTTTGGGAGGGGCTGCTGGGCAGCCAACGCTTCTTCCAGGTACCTGACTGCTGGGTCGCAGCCCCTCTGGGAGGCCCAGTCCGGAAGTCGGATGGTGTGCCCGCCACCACGGGGCTCCCATGCAGGCTGCCGGCGGGGGGCCCTGCACTAGCTGGATGCGGTGGGTGGAGGGTGGGCTGCCTGACCTTGAGCCACAAACACTGCCCTCTCGTGGGCATCTCCCCACTGCCCACTTCTGACCCAGAACATCACAGACTGGGCCACCCAGACGAGGCAACCCAACGTTTACTTGAAATATACCTCATCTGCAAAAGTGTCACCTGCCCAAGGATGGCCCTCTTTGCTAGAGAATTCTGTCCCCAGAGCCCGCCCTCCCTCCCACCCTTCCTTCCTTTCTCTTAAAGTTTATTTTGACAGAGAAAGTGAGTCAGGGAGGGGCAGAGAGAGCGAATCCCAAGCAGGCTCCATGCCGTCAGTGCCCCACACAGTGCCTGATCCCACAAATGGCTCGATCTCACGGTTCCACAAGTTCATCACCTGACCCAAAATCAAGAGTCAGACACTTCAACGACTGAGCCCCCCAGGAGTCTGGACTTCTTTCTATACATAGCACCTTCTCCTTCCGCCAAGCCGGTCTGACACCCCAGCTCCCATGTTCCACTGACCAGCCCTGGGAGCCCACGGAGAGGAGGCGGTGCCCCTGCGTCAGCCAGTGTCACACTGGCCCCGCCCGACCGCTTCTGCTCTCGAGGTCCAAGCTTTGGAGGCATCTCTCACTCAGCTGGTCCAGCCGGTGAAAACCCACTTCCCTGAGGGCTGTGCTCACAGGACAGGGCACTCTCTCGAAGTTCCCCTACCCACTCACACTCACTGCTTAGGTACTTTTAAATCAATGTCTGCTGCACCTAAAATTCTGACCTTGCTTTCTTCAACACTGTTACGCCCGCACTGTCCAGTGAAGGAGCCACTGGCCACATGTGACTATCTAACTTTGCATTACCTAAAATGTCAAATAACAATTCAGTTCCTCAAACCAGCTGCGTTCCCAGGGCTCCGTGTGGCTGGTGCAGGCAGCACAGCTTGTAAGCCCTCAGCGCTCCCTCTCTGGGCCGTCTGTGTCTGTCACACAGAAAGGGCTTCTTGTCTGCCCCCCTCACACTCCTCTGTTGCTCAAGGGAAAAATCCAGATTTTCCTGACTCAGAAATGCGACCCTGAGCACTGTCCACAAGGGGGACCTGCCGTCAGTGGCCCACACGGTGCTTGATCCCACAAGCCACTCGATCTCACAATCCGTAAGATCGTGACCTGACCCGAAATCAAGAGTCACGTGCTGAACAAAGTGCCTGGGGGCCACCGGGTGCTCCTCTCCCTCCCTCTCCAGGGCAGAGCCAGCGGGACGAGCTACCGTTCGCAGCTTGTGCGCACCACCTTGTGCACACCGCTCCTGCCCGGTCTTTCTGAGCTAACCACAGACGGCCAAGCACGGAGAGACTGGCCCTGGGTTAGTTACAAGACACGGGCTCTGCTGCCCACAATGCTCTCCTTCGATAGGATTTTAAAGACTTGGGAACCACATTTATGTGCCTTGTGGGGCATCAAGGGACACCCCTAACACCTGATTCGTGTTTCCTAAACGTGCTCACGGTCTCGTGGACTTGCCCACGTGATCTGCTTCTGCTCAGCCCAGGATGAGGAAAGAATGCCTGTGCCTTCGAGTCGATTCAATACCCCCCTTCGTCATGAGTCTGGCTGAGCACCGTGCACAAACCGTAACCACCGAGACAGGGTTGGGGTGAAAGGTCCCTCAGTGCACACCTTCAGCTGGAACAGCGTATCTGCAAAGAAAGGAGGTGGTTTGAGGGTTCCGGCTGTGACAAGGGCGCTTCTAACAAGCAGAGGGGGCCGCTCAGACCCTCTGGACACAAAGAGCTGGATCAGGGTGCAGGCAGGGGTGGGGCCTCCCGGAAGCCCAGCCTGCGCTGGAGCCGGTGGAGGACTACTGTGCCAGCCAGAGGGCTTGGGCAGACGCACAGGTTCCCTGGCCAGATCCTTACAGGTAACACCAGGGCGGCACCGGCTGAGCCCAAGGGTCAGTGTGCAGCCAAATGAGGTCATGGATGCAGCACACAGCCCTCCGTGAAAACCCAAGGAGGGGTGTGTAATCAATGCAACTTTACAAAGACCCTTGTGATTCTTTCCCAATTTACTATAACTCAGTACTAGAGTCTATTTTATATACTCTTTCTCCCCAAAAGTAAATGGATAAGAATGGCAGAATGAGGACTCATGCATTCAAAGAGCTGGCATATCTGAGCCTTCAAATCAGGCTCGGGAGCCTCACTACCTACGTGAGCGTACGAACAGCTCCCTCTCCTGGTAGCCACATGTGCTAGTCACTCACTCAAACTCCAGGGCCAGGTAGAGTCAGATTCACATTAAAACTGTCTCAATTTAATCAATTTCTAGATTTGGAGGATGATGTCTGAAAGAGTTTACTGCACTAGCCCAGAGTGAACAACGGAAATCCTGCAACCAGAATGAGGGCGTAGAGTGTTCATAAATGCAAATCAAGGCCTCCGGCTGAGAACCCAGTGGGGTTTCAGGTAAGCCCTGTGCACCCATCATCGACCAGTGCAGGCCGTGGTCAAGGCCACAGCCACCTGTGAATCTGCCAATCGGAGCTAACCTGTCGCACACATGGCAGGCTCTCCGCCTCTCTACCTCACGGTGTGACCCAAACCCCCTGTCTCCCTGCCTCGGCTTCCTCTTCATACTTGAGGAGCAGGAATAGGTTCTGGAAGGCAAACAGCTGCGAAGGCAAAACCTAACCCTGGGAAAAAGTGATACAGCCAAAAGAAAGTTCCCCAAGGAACTGGGTAACCTGTGGAGCAAAACTCAACATTTACGGTTGATGATAGTGGTGGGTGTGTGGTGTTCATCTTCTCTCTGAAGCAACTGGTATAGAATTTCCTTTGTGACAACAACATGGTTGTATGGTTTTTTCCATTTCACAAAAGGAGTTTTGAAACCTCTCTGTCACACCAACCCTTAAACGTTCTAGCAAACGTAGGCATCTCCCCTTCTCACTGATTCTTCCTGCTCTTTCGTGTCCCGGAGCACGGACAGGGCGGAGGCGGTGCTGCAGGCAGGGGAGGACAAGACCAGGGAGCTAGATCTCTACCTCGGCTTCCCCATCTGCAGGCTGGGGCACAAAATTCCTATCTCAAAAAGCGGCTGACCGCGCCTGGCACACAGTGAGTGCTTTTTGCCCGAGCTCTTCCTGTTTCTCTTAGTGGTGTTTTGGGGGCAGTGGTGCAACTGCCTCCTTTTCTGGTGCTCTCTCACCTGACACCCCAGGGCGCCAGAGACCGATGTCCCTCACCGGTACAGGAGCTGGGGGGCTGGGAGGTGGACGCTGAGGAGTCTGGGGGAAGGGGGTCAGGGGGTGGGGTCGAGGATCCTCATCGGGGTCTGGGGTTGAAGCTCCGGGGATCGAGGATCGGGGTCCAGGGCCGAAGATCCAGGTCCCTGGCTGGGTGTCGGGGTCCGGGGTCTAGGCCCGGGGGTCGGAGATCGGTGTCGCAGATTGAGGCCTGGGGTGCCCGGCCGAGCCCCGCCCTCCCCCTGGTGGGCGGGGCCGCTTACCGTCCATGGCAGGTCCGGCAGGCGCAGCCCTCGCAGGAACGGACGCGCGGAATCCCCCGGGCCGAGCAGATCGCACTTAACAGCTCCGTCGCGCGGGAACTTCCGGGGTCACCTCCCACTTCCGGCTATCGGCAGCTCTCGCGACAGCGCGAGGCCAGTCGCGCGAGCGGGGCGGGGCGTCGCCGTGGAGACCCGCGCGGCTGCGTCCCGCCGGCGTCTGTGAGTCACGCCCGCCGCGCGCCCGCCGAGCTGCCGAGCGCCGGGCTGCGCCGGCGGGGCGGGGTCGCCTATGGGACTTTCCAAAAGCAAACATAAACCTAGGACAGGTAAAGGGCCGCCGGCCCGTCGTCTCCTAGGTCCCGTGGCCGCGGTTCGGCAGGGCTGGCAGTGCGCCGAGGGGCGCTCGGCGGGGTCCGCCCCCGCCGGGGGCTGGGGGGTGCTGGGCTGGGCGCCCCACCCGCCGCGCTCGTCACTCCCGCGCCTGAGTCCCCTCTGACGACTGTGCCTCGGGAATCTTCTCACCCACGGAAAGATCCACGTTCAGAGAAGTGGAGGGAAAAGTCAAGCTTCCTTATTTCCTTCCGGACCAAAGCCGGCAACCGCAGGGCTGGGACCCCGAGCTCTAGGGTCAGCGAGCTGTGGGACTGATTGCCCGTGTGTTTCAGGTGAGGAGCCAAAGAAGGGCCGCATCTATTCATTTCCCAAGGCCAAGGAAAGGCCCGTGTACAGGCATTCTCAAGAGTCTGAGAAGTCTCCGGACACTAAGCCTGCAGAGAGCTTTCATGGAAAGAAAGGGGCAGCCAAGCGACAGTGGCCTTCATCCGAAGTGGAAGGTAGGAGACCCCAGGAGGGAACGGAGCCTGAGGCCGGGGAGCTTGGGGCTGGGGTAGAAAGGAGCCTAAGCGGTGGCTGGCGGGGAACATGCCCTAAAGACCGATCGGGTTTTAGGACCTTTATATGCAAGGTAAATACCCAGAATTATCAGCGGAAAGTAATCGTTGAATAAAGGTTTAGGGAAGTGTCCCCATGATAGATGCACAGCCGAGAGTCAAGAGGGACTTGGCAGTGCGTGGCTGCAAAGCACAGTCAGCCTTCCCGGAGGGCCGGGAACCTCCGGGCGGGACCAGTGTCCCTTCAGCAGTCCACACCGCAGCCGGGAGTGGTTGACAGGCGATGTGGGAACTCAACCCGGGCACAGGGATCAAAGGAACTAGACGGTTGGTGGGCCCAAGAGGTCAGTTTGGTAAATTCATTCGGTTTGTCAACAGCCCAGTGTGGCCAGACCTTTGCGGGGGGTGGGGGTGGGGGATGAGGCCACAGAAGCAGCCGGAGTATGAAGCTCTTCCCCCATTGTATCGCCTGCGCTGTGGAAACGGAACCATGAAATAATTATAACTAGAACGAGCCAGGTGTGATGGGGTTTGTGCCTGGGAGAAGTCTTTCTCCAAAATGGAGGCTACTGGGGGCGGCGAGACCTGTCGGAGGCCCATTGCCGCAGCTGAGGAGGAGCCGCTGAGGCCCTGGCAGCAGGAATTCCGAAACGGGTAGGACCTGCGGAGCCTGCTGGGGGAGGAGGCGTGGCGCCTCCGGGAGGGGGTTTCACCGGCACGGGGACGAGTGGCCGGCAGGTGTCACGGTGCTGGGAGGGATGCTGGCCCGGTGGGGAGACGGGAGCGGAGGCCGGCGGGCTCCGACCGGGGCACCTGTGAGGTCATCGAGGGCAGGAGGCCCTTTGAAATGAGGGTGTTGGGCTCGGGAGCAAGGCCTGGACTTCAGATCCTGAAGTGCGAACGCTTGCTTGAGCGGGAGACTGTGCGAAGGGCCGGCGCCCCGGGGAGGAGGTTTGGAGAAGGCCACAGGCCGGTCAGGAGCCTTCCGGAGGCAAGTCACAGAACAGCTGACCAGGCGCGGCTCTCCCGCTGAGGGGCCCAGCGTCTCCCAGATGAAGGATCAGAAGAGGCCACTCACGGCGCCTTGCTCGGCAGCATGCGATGACCTCAAGGACTGTTTGCCGCCCTCAGTGTCGCCAGAGAGCTGGACGGCCCTCGGTGTCACATGCAGACAGGACTGCCGTCTTGTCCACGGGAGACTGTTCTTGCAAGAGCCTTCCCTCGGCGGCCCCCACCTGCCCGGCGTCGCCAGGGTAGGCTCAGATCGTGCGCGTTCGGGGCTGGACTTGTGCCAGCAGAGGCAGGTGTGGGCAGGTGGGTGCCTGCTGCAGGGGCACTTGCAGTGTCTGTACACCCTCATCTCAGAGGGTGGAGAGAAGATGGGCATAGAGGGCAAGTTCAGAGAGCAAGAGTGAGGATGGAGTTTCAAGAAAGAAGGGGAAGTGTGGTTTCTTCATACAAGGCAGCGTCTCCGCAACAAGGAGTAAGCCGCTGGACATGCGCTGCCCCGTGAGGGAGCAGCTCCAGGGAGGGGCTGGTCCAGAGCACACGTGCCGTCATTCTGCTTACGTGGAATGTCCAGAAAAGGCGAAGTTATATAAAGGGAAGCCTGGACTAAGGGTGGGAACAAGGATTAGCCGTAAACGGGAATGAGGGTCTTTGAAGGTGATGGAAATGTTCTTAAAACTGGATCGATGGGTGCCCAGCGCTGAAAGTTCGCTAAAAATCCCTGAATGGAGTGCCTCAAACAGGTGAATAGTATGGTATGTAAATTATACTGTAACAAAGCTGTTAAAAAAAAAAAGAAGGTAATTTAGTCGACAGTGTTAAGTGTTGCAGAGAGATGGAGTAAACCCAGAAAAGGCCGCGTTCAGTGAGGCGAGGCTGCGGGTCCTGGCGCCTGTGCAGAGGCCAGGTCCAGCGACCGGAAGCGCAGACACCTGTGCTGCCGGGTGGACCATTTAAACGGGGGCAAGAGCATCTCTCTCTCCTATTCGTGTTGTAAAGCTGAAGAATTTCCCTATTAGATTTGGAAACGCTAGGACTTTGGGAGTCAAAGTTTCTTCCTTCAATCAACCTAATACCATAAAAGCCTTAGAGAAATGGAGAGTCCTAACAAGCCAAAACCCCTGTGTGTTACGTAATACACTTACTACTATGGGATAAAAACCAGAACCAGACGTTCTTTCTGGGGTAGGAGTCAGGGAGGGAGAGGCCAGCGGACTGGAAGGGAGCCTGTGGGGACTCTGCGTGGCGCCAGAAAGCTCTGCATCTTGGGGGTTGTGAATACCCAGGTGCGTACAACTGCGGAAACGAATCCAGCTGTGCTTTAAGAACTGCATTTTCTCTTGTGTGAATTATGCCGCAAAAAGCACGGAGTACACACGAGTCCTTGCCCCTTAGAGCTGCACCCAAAATCCTGAAGGTGAAATTGACGTGGCTGCCGGAGACGGTGTCTGAGACCCAGTGCAACGTGGAAGAGTGTAGTGTGGCCGGGGAACTTTCCGAAGGCAGCCGCAGCCCTCCCCCCACTTTCTGCTTGGTGGGGGGGTTGATGCTCCTCCCACTTGGGCAGGTGGGGGGGGCTGCAGCCTCTCTCCTGAAACCTCTGCAAGCTGGACATTTTCTTGTAACTGAAAGAATGTGGAGAAAGTGGTCTCTGAGCTGAGCCACGAAAGGTGATGCAGTCCCGCCTCGCCCACTGGGACACACAGACTGCTGCTGGGGCCCTGAGCCGCCACAGCAGCCACACCACGCTGGAAAGGGGCTCAGCCCCCTGGGGAGGCCAGTCCCGGTCTCTAAGCCCTTCCAGCCCAAGAGCCAGGCTTGTGACTGAACAAACCCCTAGGTGACTCTAGCCCCCCGCCTTTGGGTCTTCCCAGTGGAGACCCCAGACACCGCGTAGCAGCAGCATCTGAGCGGCCCTGGGAGTGGCCACCTGGCATGTCCAGCCCAGTGGAGCCTCCAGAGGACCGACGCTCCAGACAGCATCCAGCTGTAGCCACCTGGGGACCCTAAGTGATAGCTGCCCGGTCAAACCGGTCCTGAATTCCTGACCTTTCAATTGTGAGAAAATAAAATGGTTGTTTCAAGCTACAAGGGTTCAGGTAAGTTGTTCTATAGCAGTTTAACTGGAATGGAGGGTGAGTGCTGGGGCAGAGGTGAAGTCTGACTGTGCCCTTGAGCTGCGGCAGCTGTGTGACCGGTTCACGGTCTTGTCTTGCTACTTTTGTGTATACTTACAATTCTGCGATACAAAACCCACATACATACCTCATACCACATGTTAATCCACCACAAAAATGTGCAGCCAGTTCCATATGCTGGAAATTATACTGGAAAAAAAAACGACCCCGACTTTTCTACAAATAAATGACATGGAAAAAAGGAGTCTAGGTCTGCGCTGGCTGCTATAACAAAATACCATAGACTGTGTAGCTTCAACAACAGACATTTATTCGTCCTAATCCTAGAGGCTGAGGAGTCCCAACAATCTGATTTGGTTCCTGCGAGGACCCCTTCTGGGCCCACAAACAGCCATCAAATTGCTGAGTCGTCTTTTTTCTTTCTTCTTCTTCTTCTTCTTCTTCTTCTTCTTCTTCTTCTTCTTCTTCTTTTTTGCAACAGGGATAAACAGATACATTTGGCTTGTAAAGTTTTTTTTCCCCCAATGTTTTATTTATTTCTGAGAGACAGAGCATAAGCAGGGGAGGGGAAAAAAGAGAGGGAGACAGGATCCAAAGCAGGCTCCTGGCTCTGAGCTGTCAGCACAGAGCCCAGTGCGGGGCTTTTTAACTCAGAAACCCTGAGGGGCACCTGGGTGGCTCAGTCGGTTCAGTGCCAACTTCAGCTCAGGTCATGATCTCACGGTTCCTGGGTTCAAGCCCCGCGTCAGGCTCTGGGCTGACAGCTCAGAGCCTGGAGCCTTTTTCCGCTTCTGTGTGTGTGTGTGTGTGTGTGTCTCTCTCTCTCTCTCTCTGCCCCTCCCCTGCTTTCTCTCTCTCTCTCTCAGAAATAAATAAAACATTAGGGGAAAAAAAAACAAACCCTGAGATCATGACCTGAGCTGAAGTTGGACACTTAACCGACTGGCCCGCCCAGGCGCCTCAAGTTCTGTGTCTTCACACGGCTCCAGAGAGAGGGCTGTGGGCTGCTCCTCCTATGAAGTCCCATGGCTGGGGCTCAACCCTCATGACCTCATCTCGGCCTAATCACTTCCCTGTAGCCCCACCTCCAGAGCCCATCCCACTGAGGACCACATGTGAGCCTTGCACACATGACTTCTGGGGGGACCCAAACATTCAGTCCGTAGCAGAGAAGGCAGTGCAAGGAGACTTCAGGGACCTAGGAAGCAAATACAGTGTGGGCCCAGGCTAAGTCATTCTTGAGGTAACCAAATTGAGTATCAGATATTAATAATAATAGTTTTCTGAGACGTGACAAGGCTGTTGTGCTTATGCTAAAAATAATTACTACTTGGGGCACCTGGGTGGCTCAGTCCATTAAGCGTCTGACTTCGGCTCAGGTCATGAGCTCACAGTTTGTGGGTTCAAGCCCCACGTCGGGCTCTGGGCTGACAGCTCTGAACCTGCTTCAGATTCTGTGTCTGTCTCTCTCTCTGACCCTCCCTGTTTACGCTGTCTCTCTCTCTCTCTCACAAATAAGTAAAACATTAAAAGAAATTAAAAAAAAGAATTCCTCCTTGATAGACATATATGTTGCATTATTTATGGGCAAAATTCTATGTTTGAGATTTGCTTAAAAACAGGAACAAAAAACCTGAGGAAGATAGACAAAACAAAGGGACAAAATATTGACTGAAGCTGGGTGCTCATTATACTATGGTTTTCATGAGTGTCTGAATATTTCCGTATTTTTTTGAAGGTATAGTGTGCTTATTTCAATAGGTTTTGGAAAAATAAACTTTAACATTTATCAGCTAT